TCTGGTGAAATCTGGGCTCCTTGCAAAGGCAATGACGCTAGTGTTGTCACAATAGATAGTCATGGGATCCAATGCACTAGGAACCACTCCTAAATCGGATATGAATTCCTTCATCTAGACTCCTTCATGCGTCCCTTCCGAAGAAACTATATATTCCGTCTCACATGTAGATGCTGCTACCACACTCTGCTTGGAGCTACTCTAACTGTCTGCTCCACCATTCAAAATAAATATGTATCCGGTTTGAGACTTCAAGTCACCCGGGCCAGTGTCAAAGCTAGCATCGATGTAACAGTTTACGACGAGCTCTTTATCACCTCCATAAACGAGAAACATTTCCTTAGTCCTCTTTAGGTACTTGAGGATATTTTTGAACCCTGCCCACTGGTCCACTCCTGGATCACTCTGGTACCTCCCAACCAAACTTATGGAAAGTCACACATCAGGTCAGGTACACAACATGTCATACATGATAGAGCCTATGGCTGAGGCTAGGGGGCGACTTTCATTCTTTCTCTTTCTTCTGGCGTGGTCGGGCTTTGAGTCTTACTCAACTTCACACCTTACAACATAGGCAAGAACCCCTTCTTTGACTGGTCCATTTTGAACTTCTTTAAAACTTTGTCAAGATACGTGCTTTGTGAAAGTCCTATAAGGCGTCTTGATCTATCTCTAGATATCTTGATGCCCAATATGTAAGCAGCTTCACCCATGTCTTTCTTAGAAAACTATTGTTTAAATAACTCTTTATGTTTTCCATAAATTCTGTATCATTTTCAATCAATAATATGTCATGCACAAGAAATATTAGAAATGCTACAGAGCTCCCATCACTTTCTTGTAAATACAAACTTTTCCATATCCGTGGATTATCAAAGGCTTTGATCACCTCATCAATGTGAATATTCCAACTCCGAGATGCTTGCACTAGTGCACAAATGGATCACCAGAGCTTGCATACCTTATTAGCATCCTTAGGATCGACAAAACCTCCCCGTTGCATCATATACAACTCTTCCTTAAGGAAACCATTAAGGAACATAGTTCTGACGTCCTTCTACCAGATTTCATAGTCGAAAAATGCAGCAATTGCTGACATAATCCTAACAGACTTCAGCATCGCTATAGGTGAGAAAGTCTCATCGTAGTCAACCCCTTAAATTTTGTTGAAAACCCCTTGTAACAAGTCGAGCTTTATAGACGGTGACATTACCATTAGAGCCCATCTTCTATTCTTCTTCTAAAAGATCCATTTGTGCTTAATGGCCTTTCGGTCATCGGATAAGTCCACCAAAGTCCATACTTAGTTTTCATACATAGATCCTATCTTGGATTTCATGGCCTCTAGCCATTTGTCTGAATCAGGGCTCATCATTGCTTCTTCATAGTTCGTAGGTTCACCGTTGTCCAACAACATGACTTCCAAGACATGATTATCATACCATTCAGGGGCGGTACGTGTTCTGGTCGACCTACGAAGTTCAGTAATAGCTTGATTTGAAGTTTCATGATCATTTTCATTACCTTCCTCTCTAGTTGGTGAAGACACCACAAGAACATCTTTCTGTGTTGCATAATTTCTAATTTGAGAGAAGATACAATTACTTCGTGAAGCTCTACTTTCCTCTTACTCACTTCTTTCTAGAGAAACTCGTTGTGTAAAAAAGATACATTCTTGACAACAAAGATCTTGCCATTGGATCTGTGATAGAAGATATACACAATGATCTCTTTAGGGTACCCTATGAAGATGCATTTCTCCACTTTGGGTTCGAGCTTATCAGCCTAAAGCCTCTTGACATAAGCGCCACATCCCCAAACTTTAAGAAATGACAACTTATATTTCTTGCCAAACCACAATGCATAAGGTGTCGTCTCAACAGAGTAATAAACATTATAGAACACACCATATCTAGAGACTACGATTACGTCGGACACACCATTACGCTATGATGTTCCAGATGGCGTAAGTTGTGAAACAATTTCCTATTATCTTAAATGCATACCAAATTCGTAACTCAAATATTCAACTCCACGACCAGATCATAAAAAAATTATCTTCTTGTTACGATTATTCTCTACTTTACTCTGAAACTCCTTAACCTTTTCAAAATATTTCAAATTTGTGTTTCATTAAGTAAATATATCGATTCAATCTCAAAATGATGTGTCGGTTCAATCTCTCAAACGTGCTCATAAGATAAGAGCAAGTACAATAAGCTTATGTAAGCGGGCTATAAGAGTTAAAATATTATATTTCTGCTGACATGGAGGGGAGAGAAGAAGAGAAAGAAGAGGAGCCAACTATGACACTACTACTATGTTACTTTGCACTATGGAGGTGGTAACTTAGACTAGTGTCATGCATATGACACTAGTCTAAATTACTCTCCACTATGACCAGCCTAAAGAGCCAGCTACAACGCGTGCTCATAGGCACTATGTGAGAGTGGGATGTGGACCATGCATTAATAAAGTACTCCCTCCGTTCGGGTTTATTAGGCCTCTTAGCATCACAAGCATGTCCACTTTTATAAGGCCCCGCGTTGGAAAGGTGCATGCATGCAACCATTTCATTGGTTACATTGAAAGCTATTGTTGTTGGTGCCATGGCTGAAAAATTAATACACTTCATGTGTGTTTTTTCATTGGCTGCATGCATGTGAGAGAGTGCATTGAGAGTGGAGTGAAAGAATTAATGTGAGCAAATTACTATGTGTCTTGGTCTAAGAGAAGTTGTCTTTAGGCCTAATAAACCCGGACGGAGGGAGTAGCACCTTAACTATTGTACGTGCTGACTATAACCTTAGCTATAGATGACATGTCAATATCATATAGTCATCAGCTGGCTGTATTATTAACCATGCTCTAAGATGTGCGTACGTACGTTCATAGGAATGAGTGTATGTGCGTATATAGAGACGCTTGTCCTGTGTTTTAAAAACCTGTACTCTCCTCCTCCACACTTTTATTTGAATCAATAAGTTAATGCCTGGCACATTTCTTCCACCAGGGACCCAAATTCGTACTAACCCAGAGAGTAGCCGTGCGTGGGATGCGTGTACCAAAGGCAGGCCCCACTTCCCAGAGGGTGAGGGCGTCGGAGGCGAAGCGACGAGCCGACGATGATTGTGACGGCGGGGCGGGCGGGCGCCTGAGTTGTTCACCACCTACCCTCCCCCGCCTCTCTAAGACTTTCCACCCAACTGATCACACCAACAGCAACAGCTAGGCACAGCCCACGAACAAACTGCCGTTGAGAAGACCAACCATTTCTTCCTCCCCGGAGACACGCGGAGAAACTCGACGACTCCTCTCCCTCCCCACCTTAGTCCCGAACTCCCGATCGGGAAATCTCGGCGGAGGCGCTGCATCTCCCTGGACTGAGGATCTCGGGGCCCGGCGGAGGACGTGGACCGGCATCACGCCAACTGATCGAGCAAGAGCCGAGAGGTACGTACGTGCGTCTGTTCGTTTCACTGGGTTTTCCAATCTCATCTGCTGGGCCGCGTAGGGTAGCAATACAGCGTAGCTGCTTACGATCGATCCAAGGGAAGGCACTCTCTGTTCTTTGGTCGATTGCAGCCAAGTTATCGGCTGGCCGTCTGGGCAGCGCCGATCAGTCGCCCCATTTGCGGCGGCGGCGGCAGCGGTGCTGCTTCTCCGCAGAATCCGCGACGTGTTTGCCGGCCCTACCACAGCACTGCTACGCCGCTAGATTACCGGACGAGTAGAGCCAGCGCCGCCGCCTCCTACGGACGGGACGCGCGCGTTTCGTCTGGCCTCCTCGCCGGCGCCGTGCGTGCTCGAGTGTATGCCACGAGCCAACTGCGCCCTGGCACGTGGCGTCCATCGGTGGCTGGCGTGGCGGCGCGCTGAACTGGCCAGGGATACTTCCCCCGTTTGTCCTACTATAGTGTGAGCCCAATTGTTGGCAGGTGTCGCCGTCCGTCCGTCCGGATGGAAATATCTCCGCCTGTTTCTTCTTCTTCCGGGTGATAAGGAGAGTTGGGTCAACTCTAATTGCCTTCTGCACAGAGCAAATGGCGCGACCGGATTTATTGCTTGCGCTTTGTTGCACCTCGAAACTGATAATTATAGCATTGGATCCCAAGTTCTACAACATCCGATCTGGAGATTGTACTGTCTTCCTCTCTCTGCTAAGGTTTGACTTGTACATGCATTAACTAAACATGGTTAAGCAACTTGCATGATCTCCCCGGGATAAAGGCCCGTACACTTCAATTCAGATTCAAACTTTGTATATAGTACTCCCTCCGCAAATTAATATAAGAACGTTTAGATCATTACTTTAGTGATCTAAATGCTTTTACATTAGTTTGATCTAAAAAATCTTATATTAGTTTACAGAGGGTGTAATGTTTAGTCCAGCAATACACACTTTCTATTGGAGTAGTATGTTTGTGTGATACAAATAATTATAGGTTTTATTCGCCGGTTCAACTATTCCATTTGCATATCAACACCTTAATTACGGACGACAAAGGTTTACGAATTATTGACAGCATTTCACGGAGGAATTAACATTCAAATTCCAGTTTCCATGCTAAGTCAAACCAAGGAGTACTCAGTGAGCTGTCACACACGTGGTGGCTGGTGACAAGTGAGTATTCAGACGTATAATACTCATCCGTAGCATTTTCTGGGAGTAGTCGATGTGCCTAACAGTCCATTCTATGCTCTGATGTGACCACCCAACGAATGTGCAGACCAGTCATCAGTAGTACGAAACACTCGAATTTGACACTTCAAAGCTGCCTTTGCCTTGTCCCAGTTGTGTACTACTATTCGCCCATGCCACTGTCTGTTGTAGTGTTGGTGTTGCTGATAACTGTTGTGTGGTAGCACTCGCAGAATGCTTAGAGCATGGTTAATAGAAGAGCCGGCAGCTGGCTCTGTACTCATGCCATGTCATATATAGCCTTTGTGAAAAAAATCGCATATAATAAGGCTGGCGTGTAAGTTGGCTGTAGCAATTAATGTTTGCATGCATGGGTAAGAATGCAAACGCATTTGATTGGAAGAGGGAAAGAAGCGTCAGCCTTCAGCCCCTGCATGCATTCTTTTCTCTCGAGTGCAGTGCTACAGCCGGGCGATTGCCCAAGCGCCGGCCTCTTCCTCATTCCAACTTTCTCTCTCCTCCAGCTAGTATTTTTGCTAATCTGGACAGCTTATAGCCTGCTGACTCAGGCTTACTATACTTGCTCTTATTATACAGACTAAGCCACGTGAAACTTTAATTCGTGTCACTGCTTGAACGTGGCAATGATTTTCTGCGGTGCCCATGTCAACGCTTCGTTTCCCTAGGCGAACTCACGTTGTTCCCTGACGGATAACCGTACTATAAAAATTTGTCAACTTAACCATCTTCTGCTCGCTCCTACTACTCCAGGGAGTGTATATCATATAGCTTGTGATTCACCAACTGGGCCTTGATCTACCACCAGGGACAGGACAGGGAGGAAGCGGTTCAGAAGACGAAGAGGAGATGTCGTCCGACGGCAGGGGCTCCCAGATGGGCGTCGCCGGCGCGCTGGGCCTCTCGGTCACGTCGTCAGTAGCCATTGTCATTTGCAACAAGTACCTCATGAGCACCCTCAACTTCTACTTCGGTTAGTACAACTTTCAGAGTTTCAGACTCTCAGTGCTGCTGCTGCTTACTGCGTCCGACACTTTTGTCATCAAGTGCACAAAAAGGACATTTCGATCTTACAACTTTCTGATTTGTGTTTGCTTCAAATTTGGATATGCAGCGACGACACTGACAAGCTGGCACCTGCTGGTGACTTTCTGCACGCTCCACATAGCGCAGCGCCTGCGCTTCTTTGAGCCGAAGCCAATCGACGCGCAGACTGTCATCTCCTTTGGGTTTCTCAATGGGATCTCCATTGGCCTCCTCAACCTTTGCCTTGGCTTCAACTCAGTTGGTTTCTACCAGGCAAGCTACCCAGACTGCTGATGATAGCTCATACAGTACCATTTCATTTGTTTTCTTACTCGTGGATTTGCTGTGTTTGTTTTGCTACAGATGACCAAGCTGGCTATTATACCATTCACCATGCTCTTGGAGACCATCTTTCTGAGCAAGAAGTTCAGGTGATTCTCAGATTCCTTCTCGCATTGGGCTTTTTCCTGATCATCTTGTAGCAAATTCAGCGTTTCTCATGCTCCACATTCATTAACTGTGCAGCCAGAGCATCAAGGCCTCTCTCATGGTCCTCCTCCTGGGAGTTGGCATCGCATCTGTCACCGATCTCCAGCTCAATCTCCTCGGCTCGATCATCGCAGTGCTCACCATCGCTGCGACCTGTGTCTGCCAGATCGTATCCTTCTGCTCTGCCCCTGCATGAAACTCAAGCTATCTAAGCTAGCTGTTAACCTGTTACACATTTGCAGTTGCACCCTGAATACTTGTGTTCATGTCATCTTCCTTGACCTTGAACAAAGCTGACCAACCAGATCCAGAGGAGGCTCAAGGTGTCTTCCACTCAGCTACTGTACCAGTCCTCCCTGTACCAATCCGCTGTGCTGCTCATCACCGGCCCCTTCGTCGACAAGCTCCTGACAAAGAAGGACGTCTTCGCGTTCGAGTACACATTCGAAGTCGTGGTACGTGCTATATGTGCAGCAGCAGCAAGAACTGAACATGATGTAAAAGATGAATAAATTTGAGCTGCGCTGAACAAATTTTCTGGCGCAGGTGTTCATCCTAATGTCGTGCGGGATCGCTGTGTCCGTCAACTTCAGCACCTTCCTGGTGATCGGCACGACGTCGCCAGTGACGTACCAGGTGTTGGGCCACCTCAAGACGTGCCTCATCCTCTCCTTCGGCTACGTCCTCCTCAAAGACCCCTTCACGCTCCGCAACCTCGCCGGCATCCTCATCGCCATCTTCGGCATGGGCCTCTACTCCTTCTTCTCCGTCTCCGAGAGCAGGAAGAAGACCGAGGGCGCCACGTTGCCGGTCAACACCCAGGTCCGTACTTTTCCTGATACGTTTGTATCTGAATCTGGAATGGCGTATGACAAGGTTTTAACCGGCGTGTGCCCTTGCAGATGAGCGAGAAGGATTCGGCGCCGCTCCTTGGCACGAAAACCTCGCCGTGGCAGGAGAGCAACGGGGTGGAGAACTTTGACGACGTGCCACGGACCGCGAAGACCGCGTTTAGCCGGCAGCTGAACCCGTAGCTTAGGATGGATATGCTTTGGTAAGTTGGTATAGCAGCATCAGTATCTATTCTTTCCCCTTTGGGGTTTCTCCTACAATGATGAGAATTGCTCGATGATGAAAGTAATGGTGGTATTGTAAGGTGATTCTAGGACCTAAAAAGTTCTGGAAGTAATGTAGGGCAGCAAGTACCAACTTCTCCTACAATGGTTGTAGGGCAGGGATCTCGCGGAAATTGCACAAGAAATTTTCTGGAAGTTCTGCAAAAGCTGCAATTTATCATGGCAATTCTCTCGTTTACAAACGCGGAAAACAGTGGATGTCAATCCTTTTTCCAGAGAAAACGCAAGGGTAGACTACGCCGAAACGCAACAGCTGCTAGAGAAATATTACAGCTAATAACACCAAACATATTTTGGTCACGATGCCATCTATTGAATCTCTAATGCCCATGTAGGTGTACGGTAAGAGCATCTACGTAAATCCGACCCTTCAAACGTTCACGGACGTGACCGGACACGTTCGTGGAGCATCTATAGCCAGCAAATCCGACCCTTCAAACGCCCGCAGACGTGACCGGGCACGTTCGCTGACAGTGACCGATCACGCCTTAAATATTTGATTCTACAATCGGACATCTCAAAGTAGAAACATCAAATTCATATAACATAAACCGATCTTTAAACGGAGCTTGTCCGGCGGCCGGTTGCGCTCCCCAGAGTGTTGGTCCCATCGCCGGCAAGGTAGAGTAGGGCATGGGACACGAGCCGGCTCATGGGACTCAAGACGCCGCCATCTCTCATGCCCTGCCCTTCCTCGTCAGAGCCTCTAGCCAGAACGGTGCATGTGGACATCAGGTCGATGATGGATCCGTCCTAGGACAAGCCGGCGACATCCACCACTATCGGCGTAAATAAAACTAGGATGGTGACACCTTGGCATGTTGGGCCTAAACCAAATTGGGTCGTATGCCTTTCTTGGATAGGGAGGAAGGCTTTTGAAGGCTCCACAATATCAGGCGGACTTTGGCCTGTGACATTAAGAGCGGCTCGAGACATGGAGCCGGATGAGCTCTCGTGATTACTTCGCAGGATCTTCCCGTGAGCATGCGTCAACACGTCCGTAAAGAGAAGACCTGGATCTCGGGGAAGATGAGCAGCAACCCATGCCCCGCGAAGGACGGCTGCCGGCTCTAGATGGCAGGCTGAGGGTGTACGATCGGTCCTCACGCGTAAGCTCCGGTAGGATCTGTGTGGACAAAGTCATCCGCAACGGCCACAGTAAGATTCGCCTGCTGTCTACACTGCTACAGTGGCAATACCTCGCCGTCATCTGACGTATACCGAAGGAGGAGGAAGAGGAGGTCGTCATCATCACTCGTACAAGCATGCCATGGGCGACCATGCCACCATGGTACAAGCTAGGCTAGCCTATTCCAATGCATATTCAACCAATTGGAGCCTCCGGCAGGTCCTCTATAACAGACACATTGTAGCTCTCTACCATTGCAATAAGAAACAAGGCAGGAGTAGGGTATTACACCAAGAATGTGGCCTGAACCTGGGTAGTTCTTTGTGTTCATCTGTAGTTCATCCCACCATCGTTCATCATAACTTAGGATTGTTAGACGTGTCCAGTCCCTGGCCGAACTTTTAAAGGGTTGTTGCTCACAACTCATATGTAGGTTCTTAGAAACCGACATATGGTGCACCAGATAGGGGACAGAGGCGTTCCTACCAACCCTAATCGGCATCCTTTGCCTCTCCGAGTGCTCCCTCCGGCCGACACTTCAATGAGGTGTGAAACGGGGGATCTCCCCGCTCGCCTTCCCCCAATGAAAAGCATCATTGGTCGGCATTGTTCGACCCAAACGACCGCCATGAAAGCAGCCTCATAGACGAGCGAGGCACCTCGCGGCCTGACGGACTATCAAGGTGCAAGCCGCGAAGCGCGTCGCCGGCTCCTAGCTACTCCCTCTGTTCCAAAATAGATGACTCGACTTTGTACTAATTTTAGTACAAACTTAGTACAAAGTTGGGTCATCTATTTTGGAATGAAGGGAGTACTTCGGTGAGTGGGCGAACAAGGGCATCGATGCCGCCCCTAGCCAAGGAAGATGATGTTCCCCGCCGAGGCTGCGCCCGTTGCGTGTGACCTCGGTGGTGTGAAACACGAAATCATCCTTGGAAGGGCACGCCGGTCCCTGCCGGGCGACCAAGCACTTACACGAATCCATGGTCCGGCCTGCGCCGCGGGAAGGCGCGCGCTCATCTGCAAATTGCAAAACCTGCGGTAGCCAGAATCGGGCCAAGGGTGCCAACATGGCGTCGTAAGCCCTTTGGTCCCATGATCGTGGTGAACCATGGCGGAAGAAGGTGCCTGTGTATAGGTCTCCCTGCTACCTCTTGAGCATGCGTTGGTTTTCCCTTAAAGAGAAAAGGGTAATGCAACAAAGTAGCGTAAGTATTTCCCTCAGTTCTTTAGAACCAAGGTATCAATCCAGTAGGAGGTAACACGCAAGTCCCTAGTACCTGCATAAACAAACAAGAACCTCGCAACCAATGCGATAAAGGGGTTGTCAATCCCTTCACGGTTACTTACGAAAGTGAGATCTGATAGAGATAATAAGATAAATATTTTTGGTATTTTTATTGTATAGATTGGAAAATAAAGATTGCAAAATAAACAACAATAGAAATAGCAAATAGATAGGAAAATAATATAATGGAAAATAGACCCGGGGGCCATAGGTTTCACTAGTGGCTTCTCCCAAGATATAAATTCTACGGTGGGTGAACAAATTACTGTCGAGCAATTGATAGAAAAGCACATAGTTATGAGAATATCTAGGCATGATCATGTATATAGGCATCACGTCCGCGACAAGTAGACCGAAACGATTCTGCATCTACTACTATTACTCCACACATCGACCGCTATCCAGCATGCATCTAGAGTATTAAGTTCATAAGAACAGAGTAACGCATTAGGCAAGATGACATGATGTAGAGGGATAAACTCAAGTAATATGATATAAACCCCATCTTTTTATCCTTGATGAAAACAATACAATACGTGCCTTGCTGCCCCTACTGTCGCCGGGAAAGGACACCGCAAGATTGAACGTAAAGCTAAGCACTTCACCCATTGCAAGGAAGATCAATCTAGTAGGCCAAACCAAACTGATAATTCGAAGAGACTTGCAAAGATATTAAATCATGCACAAAAGAATTCAGAGAAGAATCAAATACTGTTCATAGATAATCTTGATCATAAACCCACAATTCATCGGATCTCGACAAACACACCACAAAAAGAATTACATCGAATAGATCTCCAAAAGAATCGAGTAGAACTTTGCATTGAGATCCAAAGAGAGATAAGAAGCCATCTAGCTAACAACTATGGACCCGAAGGTCTGTGGTAAACTACTCACACATCATCGGAGAGGCTATGGTGTTGATGTAGAAGCCGTCCGTGATCGGTTCCCCCTCCGGCGGAGTGCCGGAAAAGGCCCCAAGATGGGATCTCACGGGTGCAGAAGGTTGCGGTAGTGGAAATAGGGTTTCGTGGTGCTCTCGGATTTTTTTGGGGTATATGAGTATATATAGGCGAAAGAAGTAGGTCAGCGGAGCCACGAGGGGCCCACAAGGGTGGGAGGCGTGCCTACCCCCTGGGCGCGCCCTCCTACCTCGTGGCCGCCTCGTTGCTTCCTTGACGTCCACTCCAAATCTTCTGGATTACGTTTGTTCCAAAAATAACTCTCCCGAAGGTTTCATTCCGTTTGGATTCCGTTTGATATTCCTTTTCTGCGAAACACTGAAATAGGCAAAAGACAACAATGTGCACTGGGCCTTTGGTTAGTAGGTTAGTCCCAAAAATAATATAAAAAAGTATATTAAATCCCATTAAACATCCAAAACAGATAATATAATAGCATGGATCAATCAAAAATTAGAGATACGTTGGAGACGTATCAAGCATCCCCAAGCTTAATTCCTGCTCGTCCTCGAGTAGGTAAATGATAAAAACAGAATTTTTGATGTGGAATGCTAGCTAGCATAATTCTCAATGTAATTTTCTTTATTGTGGCATGAATGTTCGGATCCGAAAGATTCAAGACAAAAGCTTAATATTGACATAAAAATAATAATACTTCAAGCATACTAACAAAGCAATCATGTCTTCTCAAAATAGCATGGCCAAAGAAAGTTATCCCTACAAAATCATATACTCTGGCTATGCTCTATATTCATCACACAAAGTATTTAATCATGCACAACCCCGATTACAAGCTAAACAATTGTTTCATACTTTTGATGTTCTCAAACTTTTTCAATCTTCACGCAATATATGAGTGTGAGCCATGGATATAGCACTATATGTGCAATAGAATGATGGTTGTGGAGAAGACAAAAAAAGAGAAGATAGTCTCACATCAACTAGGCGTATCAACGGGCTATGGAGATGCCCATCAATAGATATCAATGTGAGTGAGTAGGGATTGCCATGCAACGGATGCACTAGAGCTATAAGTGTATGAAAGCTCAACAAAAGAAACTAAAGTGGGTGTGCATCCAACTCGCTTGTTCACGAAGACCTAGGGCATTTTGAGGAAGCCCATCATTGGAATATACAAGCCAAGTTCTATAATGTAAAATTCCCACTAGTATATGAAAATGACAACATAGGAGATTCTCTATCATGAAGATCATGGTGCTACTTTGAAGCACAAGTGTGGTAAAAGGATAGTAACATTGTCCCTTCTCTCTTTTTCTCTCATCATTTTTTTATTTTTTTATTTGGGCCCTTTCTCTTTTTTTATGGCCTCTTTTTTTCTTTTTTTTATTTTTCGTTCGGAGTCTCATTCCGACTTGTCGAAGAATCATAGTCTCCATCATCATTTCCTCACTTGGGACAATGCTCTAATAATGATGATCATCACACTTTTATTTACTTACAACTCAAAAATTACAACTCGATACTTAGAACAAAATATGGCTATATGTGAATGCCTCCG